AACCACTGATTTCTAGTCGTGTCCATTTTTGGAAGGCCAAACAAAGTAGTTTCGCTTTCACAACGAAAAACACAGCGGCCTAGCGTGAGCGAAAGCCCCGGCTTAGCCTGAGCTGAAGCCGGGCAAGAGTGAGCTGAGGCGGCGGGGTCGAGAACGGCGGTCCCGGCAAAGGAGCGGTGAAAACGGTGAAAGCATATCCGGTGATCCACAGCACTAAGTTGATGTATTTCCTCAGCGACCAGCACGGATCAGCTCTAGGTATGACGAAGCGGATATCGTCCTCTTTTGGAAGACCAAACAAAGTAGTTTCGCTTTCACAATGAAGCACACAGCGTCTTCAGGACATGGCGGCAGCGGCAACAATACTACAGTGAGAATAAAAGTTACGCCTTCTTTCTTTGCGTGAACATTTGGGCGGCGTTATGCAAATCTTCCCACATAGTGAGGTAGATATGTGGGGGCGTGTTCGAACGAGCCGTTTTAGGTAGGCGTGGCTGACTCTTAACTTTTATAAAGAATATCTCTTTGGATTTGAGACTTTAGTCTTTGCAACTTTTCAGATCTTCTTTATGCACCAAGAGCTTGTAACACTCCAAAGAGAAAGGAAAAATTTAAATCGCATTATATGACCCCTTTAAAAGTCACTGGGGTTCAAATAACACTGGACCCCACTGACATTCATATCAATCAATCAGCTAGTTGCCAAAGAAAGATTTCTCATTTTAAAGGGGTCATATGATGCTGCTAAAAAGAACATTATTTTGTGTATTTGGTGTAATGAAATGTGTTTATGCGGTTTAAAGTAAAAAAAACACATTATTTTCCACAATACTGTACATTATTGTTTCTCCTCTATGCCCCGCCTTTCTGAAACGCGTCAATTTTTACAAAGCTCATCGGTCTGAAAAAGCGAGGTGTGCTGTGATTGGCCAGCTATTCAGTGCGTTGTGATTGGCCGAATACCTCAAGCGTGAGACGGAAATGTTACGCCCCTCACCATACTGTGTTGATGCCGTGTCCGGCCGGAGCGACGAGACATAAACATTAAAACCCATTACAAACGAGGCATTTGTTGCATCCAGTGGGGACATAATTACTGATTATAATGACTTATACTGTCTTTTTACGCGTTGCCTTGCATTGCGCTGCGTAAACATAAAACCATGTCTGCATTTGTGATCAGAGAAATGACAAACAACAAGTGCTATTCTACACTGCCCAAAACTCGCGTTTGAATCATCAGTGGCAAATCCTTTAAATGAAAACGTACTTACGTGAGTCAGAACTGCTGGCATTTTAGTCTAACGTTACTCTCCCAGGATCAGTAACGTTAAACAGTCCTCCATAAAATGTGCCGGCGATCCACAGCACTAAGTTGATGTATTTCCTCAGCGACCAGCACGGATCAGCTCTAGGCATGACGAAGCGATATCGTCCTCTTTTGGAAGACCAAACAAAGTAGTTTCGCTTTCACAACGAAAAACACAGCGGCCTAGCGTGAGCGAAAGCCCCGGCTTAGCCTGAGCTGAAGCCGGGCAAGAGTGAGCTGAGGCGGCGGGGTCGAGAACGGCGGTCCCGGCGAAGGAGCGGTGAAAACGGTGAAAGCCGATCCGGTGATCCACAGCACTAAGTTGATGTATTCCCTCAGCGACCAGCACAGATCAGCTCTAGGCATGTCGAAGCGGATATCGTCCTCTTTTGGAAGACCAAACAAAGTAGTTTCGCTTTCACAATGAAAAACACAGCGGCCTAGCATGAGTGAAAGCCCCGGCTTAGCGTGAGCTGAAGTCGGGCAAGAGTGAGCTGAGGCGGCGGGATCGAGAACGGCGGTCCCGGCGGGTCCGACGAAGGAGATGTGAAAACGGTGAAAGCCGATCCGGTGATCCACAGCACTAAGTTGATGTATTTCCTCAGCGACCAGCACAGATCAGCTCTAGGCATGACGTAGCGGATATCGTCCTCTTTTGGAAGACCAAAGTAGCTTCGCTTTCACAACGAAGCACACAGCGTCTTCACGACATGGCGGCAGCGGCAACAACAAAACTACAGTGAGAATAAAAGTTACGCTTTCTTTCTTTGCGTGAACATTTGGGTGGCGTTATGCAAATCTTCCCACATATTAAGTTGATATGTGGGGGCGTGTTCGAACGAGCCGTTTTAGGGGGGTGTGGCTGACTCTTAACTTTTATAAAGAATATCTCTTTGTATTTGAGACTTTAGTCTTTGCAAATTTACAGATCTTCTTTATGCACCAAGAGCTTGTAACACTCCAAAAAGAAAGGAAAAAATGAAATCGCATCATATGACCCCTTTAAAATAAGTAATAAGTAAAAAAAACTGTAATAATAATAATAATAAAACTACACATACATATTCAAAAACTAATAAAAATGACAAAAACAACTAAATTACTTACATTTTAACTAAATTAAAATAATCATGGAAAACATAAAAATAAAAACTAATTTGAAATATTAATAAAAACTGTAATAGTATCTCGATGAAACTAAAATAACACTGGTCACAAAATGTATGTAAGGATCCAGAACGGTCATGTTTCAAGTTAAAAATATTGTGCAAGGTTTGGATGAGACATGCAAAGACAGGCTGAAACAGAAAGCAGCAGAATGGGCTTTGGTGACTGTACAGTCTCTGGACTCACTCACTCAGCTGGACAACTCCTCCCAATTTCTCGGACCCAGTCAGTGGTCTGTCTCCAATCGACACCACGAGACAAACTGTCCCTTTACTTCTCACTCTACACTGTGCCCTTTCTTCTCTTCTCAGCTTATTTCCCAAAGACCTGAGGCTCTAATGCTTCTTTCTACTCCCAGAAAATGGAAACTTAATGCCTGGGAAAAGTGCAAGAAACAACTTGAGGTCTGTTTCATGTCATACCTATTGTTTGTTGCTGTTAGGTAAGACAAGTCAATTTACTATAGCTTTGCTACCTTAAAAACAACTGATGGTCACTTTCAGCCATCTGTAGATGGGAATCCTGGCCGCATTTCTTGCTCAAAGCTAATTGTAGGTTAACTTGCTATTTGACTGTGGTCTGAGGAGAAAACAGCAAAAAACACCCTGTATGCAGATAACAACTGAAAAAACTAGGCAGTAATTAGTGAAATAACGGATTCTGACCACAATACCATAATCAGGTACAGATGGATTTGACAGACGTTTTTACATATATTTTCACAAGTATTTTCTCAGAATGGACCCTTTTCACATTTATAGGGTTCTCAGAAGCGGAAGTGGTCGTAGTTGGGCAAACTTCATTAGTGGTGAATGGAAACTACAACAAATGTTTTTTTTGCATTCCCAATTGCTCCAATAGTTTAAAAAAATTGACATTACAAAAGAGGGAAAAAATATCAAGAGATTACATTGGTCAAAGGAGACAAAGATGTCAAATCAAAGATGTCACTCCCTCAGCTATTGTATTAGAAACACTCACACAGCAGCATTAACTAGTTTTCTGTAATTTAATGCCATAGTAATATAGCACAAAGTATATATACAATATATATATATATATATATATATATATATAGGTAAAATTTGTGGGCCCAGATACTCCATCGCAATGTACTTCAAAGCAAACAACAGCCTGTATCTGGCTAAGAACTGAAGAAACTCCTATGAAAATGTATACTTTAATCTATACTTCTGAATATACTTTTGACAACTCTGCAAAAACCCGCTGTAGCTCGATTATAACTGTGCATGTACACATACACACTCTCTGTTTGACCAGTTCTTGGTCTCTTGTGGTTTTGTGAATGTGAAGTGTGAAGAAGACATTCCCTTCCTTTCTTCCCTGTGTTTTCTCTCTGGCTAAACCACCCAGGAAATAATGTCACAGTGAAAGGGTGAAATGCAGGTCTATTCATGTATTACGTAAGGACTCCTAATCCCTTCGATAGATCGGGAAGAATCATCTCTCTGTCACAGTGAGGGAGAGTATACAGTGTCATGGTAAAAGCTAGGGATAGGGTTCAGTCTCATCAATAGCATGCGATTCTACAGTTATTACGTCATCTTATGGGGAAAAGTCTCCAGGCTCCACCTGGGGAAATACTTCATAGTTGATAGTGTTTTACTGTTCTTTACATCTAGAGAGCTGTGTGTAAAACACAAATGTACACAAGACAATATTGGATTTTCTTAAGACTAAGTGTAAGTGGTATGGCACAGTATCTCTTTATAACACAGACTTTTAATTCTTGTCTGATAAGTTCATAAAAGCACAGATGCACTCTGGGTTCAGTAATAGCTTTTATTTTTGAGTCTCATGTAGTCCAAGCTAAAATTCCAAAAATGGTTCTCGTTTGGTAAAAGCTTTGCTTATCAGAGGATTTAACTTAATGAATGAAAAACAAAAAAGTGTTATGAGTTTTAACCATTTTTAAAATGTAGTATTTAATTGGGACTGTCTGTTTCTATTTCTCTAAGAAAACAAATGCAAAAAAAATAAAAAAATAATAAAAAATAAAACCAAGAGCAAAATGACACTATAATACAGTGTATTAAGTATATTTTTTCTGCTTTCAACAGGAATGGAAAACATATACTGTAACTGCACTATATAGGCTAGTTGCAGTTTCATTGGATGCTTTTTTTTTTTTTCCAATCCAAAACTGACATTTGTATAAATAATTATAGTTTCATGGCATCTTAAACACATTAGTTATGGCAAATCCCACACATATGCTTACATAGTCTCAACAATATCTCCACGTTTTGGCTCTGCAGTAAATTATAAAAACATATATAATAAAAGTAAGGCTATTTAAACACATTTTTAAAATATATATATACGAGAAGCAAAGTTGTATGTAATAACCATGAATAAATGTGTGTTATTGCATAGGAAATGCAGACAACTCATTATACAAAAACATAAACATTTCAAACAAATACATGTACTGGCTCAAAAAAATGAGCTTGATGAGTTTAACTGTTACAATGTACAGTATTTAACAGACATTAAAGGGGTCATATCATACTTTTTAAAATAATTTTTTTCCCTGAGGTCCACCTACAATGTTAGTCAAGTTTTCTGCATCAAAACAGTTTGTCATGACCACTTTCTACTCTTTTTATGAAGACGTGCAAATGTAAACACCATGTTGACATGTGAAATGAGAAGTAGTTGGGTCATGTTTGTGGCTGGGCCACTCTTTTCTAACATTTCCTAATAATTCTAGGAAGGATGAGGATTTTCAGTTGCTCCACAACCAGGAACAGCACAAGGTTTTTAACTCATTTCACTCTTTTCATTAATTCATTTGGAGTTAAGTTAATATTTTTTGGCTGCTGAACACCAAATAGGAGTCTGGGTTGGATGTACAATATTGTCAAAAGGTACAATGCTTTATCGTAATACACTTAACTTATATTTAACTCTATATGAATATTCATTTTCCAATGATATGACCCCTTTAATACAAGTATTGCATTGAGAATACAAAAATGCACTCCACTAAGCATAGTACCATAATTCAGTGTTCACACTGTTCCCAAATTTACATGATTCCAAAAATCAAGTCCTTAAAATGTAGCATGTTACTGATTGGTCAATAAGCTGATGGAATTTGCTGCAAATGTATCTACGGTGTCAGAAGGCATCAGATTAAAAACTAAAGGCATTTCTAAGGTGAATACATGCTGTATATAAGGAAATGTGTAAATGTCTAGGGTGTGTGTAACTAAACCAAACTAGACTAGACCCTTAAACAAGCTATTCATCTTTAATAACCAGTAAAATCATATTGAATAATACAGTTGTCATTGTCCATTATATCAAACATAATAGATAATCCATATTTTGTTATCGATTCTTTTTTAAATGATTTGACTGCTGTCCTGGCCTCAAGCAGACTAGATGACATATTCACAGTGTTGCCATAGCTCAGTCTGCTTGCCATTCAGGATGACTTGTTGAAAAGCAAGTACCTTTAAAGCTAGTTTACTGTAGAGGTGCAATGTAGCTGTAAAAAAGTTGCAGTGTTTTTCAGAGAGGTGCTGGCTTTCAGTGAGAGTGCTTGTGTGGCTCTTGTAACGTCAATGCTGGTTGAGTCATAAATAAATACAAATAAAAACAACATATTAATTTCACTGGCTATTTGGTCACCAATATCTTATGCAAAGTATAAGATTCAATTTCCATATCTTTCACCTAGCCATACACTCTCGATCTCATAGGCTAACAACTCTGGTCACTGTGGCTGCTCTTTGAGCTGCTCCTTCAGGATGCCAGTCTCTGTGGCCCTCCACACGTGCAGGGCACTGCTGGAGGTGAGGAAGAGGAAAAGGATGAAGGCTATGGGAAAGCCCACAGTGTCCACCATACCACCAGCCAGGGCACTAAAACTCAGTTTGCCCAGGACCTCCAGAGTGGCCAGAAAACTGTAGTGGGTGGCCTGAACAGAGACAGACAGAGAAAGAGAGAGAAAGAGAGAGAGAGAGAGAGAGAGAGAGAGAGGGAAATACAGAAAGAGGTTTAGCATTAACTTTTGACGATTTGTGGGATTTTCTCGAGAACAATGAAAAAGGGACAGTAAATTATAAAGGAAGAAAGGGAAATGTGTTTTGCTGTAAGGCTAGATTCAGGTGTTACCCGTGTGTGAAACATGCCATTCATTCACAGAAATCTACATTATGAAATGTTTTCAAATCATCCAAAGGTCCTGCACTTAATTATGCAAGTGATCTTTACATTAGGATGCACCGATTTTAGAAATCTAGCCAGTAACCCAAATTTGATTTGATTTTTTCATCTTATGGCTGATAAAGAGCTCATATTACAATTCTATAGTATTTTGCCTGGGTAATTTAAAAAGAAAACATTAAAATACTAAAATCACTGATGCTAAAGTAAACAATACAAGTGAATTTAGACATCACAACATAATAATGTTAAGTTTTGTTATTGTTTACTAAAACTATAAAACTTTAACAAATCTGAAATGAAGCTGAAATAAAATAAAATCTAAATATTAGATGAAAAACAAAAATCAGAAATGATGCCTTAGCAACTAACTGAAATTAAATTAAAATATAATTATTTAGAAACAGAAATGAAATAGATCAACGCTAAACAGAAATAGATCAACTTTAAGTCAGAGTTGGATGATGATAAAAATGAACTAAATGTAAGAATAGGGGAAATGAGCAAGCACGATAAAATACACATAATTAAATGCATATAAACATACAATTTTGCAACAAGTTAAAAATTTCTCTAATATCATCTGATAACCAATATACATTGTGCTTCCCTAATTTAAATGGCCCTTTTTGCCTTCATTGGACATGACAGTCAGAGATAGTACAGGAAATAATAGGGAGAAGAGGGGAAGATGGGATCAGAAAAAAATGCCATAGGTGACAAGAGTATGAGCACAACTGAAATGTTTGCTTTTGACCTTTTTCACATGTGTTACTTTTCAATGTAACTGATGACATTTTAACTTAATTCTTATTTATCAATTTTTAACTTTGCCTCACATCAAAACAACTCCAACAGGAGGATCAAAGAGCAGCCTGAATCCCTCTCTCCTGTCTAGACATCAGAGAAAGTCTCCATACTCTTCTCCTTCAACTTAGCACACAGGTTTGGAAAGCAAAGCCAAGTCCATTCCTTCACATGGCCCCACCACTAAAGTTAAGTGAAGTACCTTTATTCCTACAAACTTGTTTAAGGTGTTCAGTTTCTCCCTCCAGGGCCTTTCCACAAACATTCACAGTATCAATTTTCGGTCGGCTAAAACCACCTTAAAACAAACACACACAAGCTGCTCTCGCTACGGTATGTATGTCATAGGAACATTTCAAATTAACCTATAGTTTACAATCCTCCTCCTCCTGGTTATTTCACTCTGAACGGGAATCTGAATTATTCATTGCTTGGGGACCAAGGGAAAACATACACTTCTCTTATTGTTTAATGAGTTAGTGCCATTAATTCAGCACTATTGAGCTGATGGAGTGACAAATAGCTGAGAGAGCAGTGAAAGATCACATGCAAGCAGCGCAGGCCCATTTAAACAGGACAATACAATCATGTCCAAGATGAACGAGGGGATGAAACGAGAGAACATGGGAGGGGAGAGCTATCTGTGAACAGTGAGAACTACAGTTTATCATCTAGGGGACACACAAATAAACAAATAGAGATAAAGAACAAATGAACTAACAAGGAGAGAAATTAGGCAACACAAGATTAGCGGGACAAAATAGGAAGCTGATTGTTGTGAAGAATAGATCTGGTATGGATGCACTCTTTATTGATAGACAGATAAGCTGTCTTTACACTGTAATGGTGACACAGAAGCACCTTGTTAGTTCATTGACAAAGTAAAATGACAGAATATAGTTTGCAAAACACACCTAATGCACCTTGCATTAGATGTGTTTTGCAAACTATATACTGTACAAGAATCACTAATGCGAATTCATCTGCTGCTTTATTCCCATGCACATACAAAACACAAGACAAAAATAAACAAAAATCTTTGTTTATAGATTTGCAGCATGGATTTCATAATCACCACAGCTGTATAAATATCTGTATAATTCTCAGCAATTATTGTAAATATAAAAAACATTTTTTTAAAAAGAACTCAATTGAAAATTAGTATATATTTCTGAAACAAACAAAAAAAAATAATAAATTCATAATTTTCCGACGCTGTCAGAAAAAAGTTGCCAGGACAAGAAAGAAAAATCTGCATATATATATATATACACACAGTATATATATATATATATATATATATGCTCAGTTCAAACACACACACACACAAGACCATAGCATCTCATAAACTGAAGGCCAAAATAAATACTTGATAATAGCTCTTGCAATTAATATTCCTATAATAAAAAGAGCTTCATTCATTTACAGCCATACTACACATTCAAAGTTTTGGGGACACTGAAGAGTGAAGTAATGGCTGCTGAAAATTCATAATATTCATAATATAATGTTTTACTGTACTTCAGCTCAAATAAATGCAGGCTTGGTGAGCACAAGAGCATTTTAAAAAAATCTTACTGACCCCAAACTTTCAACGGTAGTGTATAAAGAAGTTACTGAAACTTTTTTTGAAAACTAGGGAACAGACACAAGAAATAACACAAATCGTCTTAAACTTGTAGGTATTGCCCACATGAGCACCACAGTTCAATGTGTCAGAGCTAGTGAACTAACCACTGGTTTACTGCTACAACCAAATATATAATCTTGACCAACTATAATAAAAAGAAAAAAAGAATCAAATGTCATATCTATGAATGAGAATAGACTTTCTGATGCATATGCTTTGTAGGTGATTGATGAGCTGAAATGGGTTGACGTGCAGAGCTAAAGAGAGTGTGAAAACTGCTCAGATCTCTGATGGAGCTATTGACTGACAGATAAATGAGCTTTTGACTGCTGTGATGTGCTCACGTTAGACTTCAGTAATGCGATATATCACGGTAATGAATATGCACGATATTGTTATCGTGGGCACTTCTAAATACCGTGAATAATTATATATTACAAATTATTCCGAATTTTGAATGCATTTTAAGAATACTTTTCCCATCAACTGGTCAAAATGCACAACACCGCTGTATGCTGCGTGAAAGACGCGTGCGCACTCTGATGTAAACAAGCGCGGACGAGAAGCACATGGCGGAACATGTGAGAGACGCTCTGGATGAAAGCGCACTTTCACTCTCTGACAGCAGATGGCGCTAAACTGCAGAAATAATAATAATAATAATAGTAATAATAATAATTCATTTAAATGCAGCCGTTACCCCGGAAACCCTGTAAACAAAGCAGCTGCACTACTTTCTGTTTCTGAATCGTGTTTAAATGATTTAAACAGCCATTCAGATTTGTGTATTTGCTATGATGTTCATCACAGCGCCACATACTTACATATTTAGACTTAATAGGCTATTTATTTTCAAACTTTTTTTTACATTTTAATCTGGACTACAACATGCCCTAGATATTGTTTGAAAGTGTTTTGATTCTTTATTGTTCGGTCACACTTTACATTAGGGCTTCATTAGTTAACATTAGTTAATTCATTAGTTAACATAAACTGCCAATGAAAAATTCTTCTGAACATTCATTAATCTTAGGTATTCCAATATTTAATAACAGGATGTTAAAATCGAGAGTTGCAGCTGTGTTATTTAATGAGCTAACATGAACTAAGACTTGTGTTTTTTTAAACAAAGATTAATAACTTCTGTCGCAAATGTAGCTATTGCTCATTGTGAGTGTTAATGCATTAACTAAGGTTAACTAATGAGGTCTTATTGTAAAGTGATACCTATTGGTCTTTATAGTTCTTTTGCACTTTAATCTGTGTAAAACTTTTAACTTTGTACATTTTTCTGTATTGCTTTATTGCATTTAAATGTTCAGTTATTTTTGTTATAAGAAAAAAGTTATTAAACCTGTTATACTGTATTATGACAGCACTTTTTTTTAAACTTAATTTCAATATCGTGATAATACCGTATACCGTAACAAAAGCATTAGCAATTAATCGCAACATGAAAATTTGATACCGGCATATCCCTAGCTCACGTATGTGGCAGACAGGAAACACTCTCAGGCTTTCTGCAGTTCACGGCCTGTTGTGAGACTCTACCTGTCAACAACTATCAAAAACTGTAAGATGCATGTTTTGTTGTCTTCAGAACCTGACTGCTAAAACTGAAGAGAAAACACAATAGATTTGTCACGCTGTTGACCTTAGGTGAACACGTGTGATGTTGTTAAGCAGTCTGTTCTGATCTGTCAGGGAGCATGAAGAGCTGCGGTCAGTTGAAGAGGGTGGCATGTGATACCTGTATGCTCTCCTCAGCTCTCTGTGTGCAGTTCATCATTGTGGTGAAAGTCAGAGTGGTGATGAGACCAGCTATGAAATGCTGCAAACTCAGACTCAGCACTACCATACCTGAGGGAGAAAGAAGACACAATCCACATTAATACAACATACTTCCCTACATACTGCCCATGTTTTAGATCTGCGTCAAAAAGCCTCAGATCATAAGCAACTCACAGCGTGTTCCTGTTGCAGACAGTCCTCAAGTTTGAATTTGTGGCTTTGAATTTACATACCGCCAGTAAAAATGCATCGTCTTAAATATTGCACTGAAGGTCTGGCAGTGTCAGCTGTTCATGAGAGAGATGGCCTGTAGTAAGTAGCTGCTCTTGTGGCTGGATTTTCTGGTGCTCAGAGCTCTGAAGTGACCAGCTGAATGGTCATAGAGGGTTCAAAATTATTTTTCCTACCCATTTCTGAAATCTGGAGGTGTAAATGACTGGGCTGGGGGTACCAATAATTCTCTCACAGCCAAATGTATCTTTCTTTTGTCCAATTTGGTAGCCAACCCAATGCAGACAATTATTGAAATGCATATGAAGTATCTCACTGGGAGACATGCAGTAACAAACAGTATGACAAATTTAAAACAGTTTTGAAATCTGTATGACTGGTCGTCAGGTTTGCATGCTGTACTGACTGGCAAGACAGCAGAAGTGAGCAACAGCCAACAAAATTGTGAAAGACAGCAAAAGTACCAGAAGAGAACAACACAGTGGGAAGCAGGATCCCCAAAAAACTAAGAAAAAAATGTAAATAAAAAAGGTAAAAAGTAAAGCAAAAAAGGAGTAAAAAAAGATTGCAGAGTGACAACCTTTTGTCTTATAATGTGTTCTTGGGCTTACTTCTATTCAACACTGTCATACCCGTGTTAGAAGGAACAGGACTTTACATGCTAGTTATTACACTGTGCTCTCCCAGACTATTATTTATGCAGACAGAACCATGTCAAACTACTAGCAGTTTAACTTAACATACACTCAAATCTGACTCTATATGATGCCCCAATTGACGCTTAGAAATCAGTGTCTTTTTGACGTTGATTATTTAATTCACAGTAACGCCCACCTAGAGCATGAGACAGACAGTCTATCATTAATGCCTCAAATCAATTATTACCAGAAGCCCATTTGCCAAAAAAAAATAAATAAAAATCACGAAGCTTTCACATCCAGCT